CAACTATCTGGTGCGATGTGTAGTGTGCCATCTACTGTATAGACACCTTATCCGCTAATCATCTCATGTGATTAACAACAATCTAATCAATAAACAAACATCAAGCAGCCGGTGGAAGCTTTAATGCCAGGAGGTAGGCAGACAGGAGGGAATGATGTTTTTCTCAGAGCTGCTTACCTTCACAACACGGGTGCAGTTAAGCATTGATCGAGTGTAACACACACCCACACAGCTCTGTTTGCTTCACCTCAGACCAGAGCTCAAAGTTTCCCCGAGGTCTGTCTCTGAAGCTCAGAGTCAGACTGAAGCTCAGAGACGCAGGCGCTGCTTCAAAAAGCTTCTCTTTAAAACATAAAAGGATGTCTGCTGGGAGAGAAGTGATTTAAAATGCAGGACGGAGCGACCGGCGGCTCTCTGAGGGCCACGGCCCGAGAGACGAAGCTGTGGAAAATCAGGGACAGAGCGGGGAATCGAAGGGTAAACCACGAGACGATGCCATCCAGATATTTAGCCTGCGGCACCGTCGACTCTGCAACATATCCTATATATAGTCTTGCATTCACCGTGGGTCATGGGAGAAACGCAATCTCAGTCCTTTGTGTGCCTTGTACATGGTGGAATTGACAATAAAGTTGACTTACACTTTGACTGTGATATATAATATCTGAGATTTGAGTACTTGGAGAAGAAAATAGAGAGATATTTTTTTTTCAAAACTCAGAAATCAATCATATACTGAACTCATGAATTCATTTATGAAGAGCTGAGAATTTTACAGATAGACAGACATCGAACAGTAAGTGCAGAGAGTTTGAGCTTTTTAAAAAAACAAAGAAAAACACTCAGTAAACAAAGACTGTATTCGGAACCACCAACTACATACTACTGGCAACCGCAGTGTGCAGTATGTACTGTATACTGCACACTATATGAGGTATAGTATGTAGTATGAAACTGTTAAATAGATTTATTTTGCAGCATGCAAATAAATGTAAGTACGCTTAACATATTCTTCTTTTAAATCATATATGTGAGAACACGGCTGCAGCCGATCTGTAGCAGATGTTTGCTTCGGTATATCAGTGCATAAATAAGAATCATATAAAATAAAAGCAAATAAAAGTACTAAAACCACAACTGTTACATTACACTAACAATGTAATGTCTGTTTAGAAGAATGATAATAAAGCGACAACAGTCCCTTTTCATACCACAATTGTTGTTTATTTTTTATCAAAGTGCTTCTACGTTACACAAGCCGGCCCATCACGAGCCAGATGTCTCTTGATTTAAGTTAAAACGTTACAACATTACTCAGAATGCAATGACAGAATAACAGCGGTACGAACATTTAAACTGCCTCACAGCTGCGGGTCTTTCCTCTCACGTTGCTGCTCGACGTCTGCTGCGTTGGCTGCAGCGCTCTGAGTGGCTGTGAGCTGACTGGCCGGCTCGTTAGCTAACCCCGCGGGCTGGCCAGACTTCCCAACTCCGAAAACGTTTGAGCACATTCTCGATTCGCCAACAATTTTCGTAAAACTGCCAGTATTTAAAATCTACACAGTTGATTTCGTGCCTCAAAACTTCTTAGAAGTGGATTTAGTGATGAAACAGTGTGTGAAAATCGTAAAACAAGTTCTGTTGTTTTCCTGTAAAGAAAAGACGGGTTGTTGTTACAGTTCGAGCGCTTTGCATTATAGGCCGCAGGACGCCAGGTAGACTGGTCCGAGGCATACTGCAGATTTTTTCTGAATCAGTATGGCAACCAGGCATTTTTGTCATACTGCAGACTTTGCTTTTGTTTGCATACTGCATACTACATTTGGGCCAAATTAGTACGTACTACTAGTATAGTAGACGGTTTCGAATACAGCCAAAGACCAATAATCTGCCATGCAAAGTCATGCAAAGCAGAAACACAATGCTACTGACAGAGTTTTTGACTTGGTATATTTATGCAAATACTTTGTACTGTGCAAATAACACTTATAGCGTACACTTGTACCGTGCATGTCGCCGTAGTGACTTTGCGATGACTCCACAGCCACATCATGTTACATTCAGTAACACGTTATTGGTCCGTGCTAAAAAAATCTGGTTTGGTTCTTCGTCTGCATTACTTTATTCTTCTGCCAAATCTTCTGTAACTACGGAACAGACCATCTGCTTCGTGTTTACACTGGCACGCGCACGCCCAGTGTCCGTGAACGACCACTAGATGCATTCCTGTATGTTTGCTTTAATGCACGAGTCGTCTTAATACAGACAGAGATCAACTCTGATACGTAGCTAAAACGCTGCTGTGGAAGGAGATCGTGTTCGTTTTAAAACTCTCTTTTTAAACAAAAACAAAGTAGTGTGGATGGGGCCTGTAATGTCTAAAAGAAAAATGCCTCAGTAACAAAGCATCCTAATATTGATGGGAGAGTATCAGTGATTTATAGCAATAGCAACATTTGCTATCTTTACCATCATCTACACACAACTCTCCTCATCGGTGTGTATGTTTTCTGCAATATATATCCCATTCTGAACACACCAGGTTGTGTTCCAGATGGGTTCGGCCTCCTTCTCTGTCTCCTAATCAAAACAAACGACAGAAAACCTGCTTTGAGCAGCAGATAACTCGTCTGAAAAGCATCGAGGAACTCAGTGAGGATCCAACATTTATCAATGACAAAAGAATTCAAAAGTAACAAGGGGTTGGGGGGGGGGGGGGGGGGTTCCAACAAAGTCACATCATGCTGACCTTTCAAAGTTTCCTTTGAAGAGGAAAATATCATCAGCCTAAAATAAAACAAGTGTCACTTCCAACTGCATTTAGGAGCTGATATAATTCTACAGTGTCTCTCTCATCTCCATCTGCACATCAGGGAAAATGAGGATGTGAAGCTTCAGATTACAGAAAGACTCAAATCTTTTGGCTTCCTTGGTGTCCATCAGTATATCGGTCTCTGTACGATGACAGCCTCCAAAATTCTCTCAGAGCTCTCAGTAAAAATATTTTCAACACAGTACAAAAATCAAATTACTATAAATAATTTGAGGTACTTTCCTTGAGTAATTCTATATCTCCTTCTTTATACTTCTACTCCAGCACATTTATTTTATCAACTCAGTTTGCAGATTCAGATAAATATAATCAACAAATAAATTACGATATATTATTAAATTTTAAGATAACACTTTATTGGGACAATTCAGAAGCAATTATTAAAAATTTAAATAAACCCCACCTTTACCAGCTGTAACATTAGATTAGTTAATGCATCAATACTTCCAATAAAAAATTTAGTTAACATAATTCTGAAATAGACCATCCTGCTTAATGAGTGTTTTTACTTTTTTACTTTTACTTAAGTACAATTTTGAATGCAGGACTTTTACTTGTAATAGATTACTTCTACACTGTAATATTACAACTTTTATTGTAGTAAAAGATCTAAGTACTTCTTCCACCGCTGCTCTTAACATTGTTGAATCAGTATTATCAGATAAATAGTGTATTTTGCCAATTTTGTAGGTAATTTGTATTTTTGTTGTGCTTTACAGATTACTGACAGACTCACACAGGATTAATTTTATCATCCAAATTACATTCTCAGTTCAGTCTGAGACCGGTGACCTTACAGCGCACGGTTCTCACAGTAATGGTGATCTAAGAATTGAAGCTTATTTCAGCCTGCTCTCTCACAGAGCTGCAGGCAGTGAATTATATGAAAGTCTAAACGACGTTGCAGAGTGAACTCTTCCCACTGGTTCTCTCCACGGATCCTCACAGTCTCTGTGTGGCTGCCTGGCTCCAAATCCCAGCTCTGGCCAGCACAGAGTCGTGTTCGTCCCGGCTTTAATCCGTCCAGCGGCGGGCGGCGGTGGGATTTGGAGGACAGTTTGGCTTTAGTTTCCATGTAAACAGAGAATGAGGTTAAAGCTGTGGACAGCTGGACCATCACTCACTGTCAGCTTCACACATACACCAACAACAGAACCGCAGACAAACAACCAGCACTGAATACTGTTAGTGTTCAATATGCTGTAAAACACAAAAGGTTGGCAAAATAACTCATAACTGAACATGACTGGAATTAAAGCATCCTTTTTGAGCGCATATGTGATGAATTCTGTCACAAACACATTTGGTTCATTCAAACAGACTCACCAGGTTGGAGTCAGTTTGCATGTCATTAGCGAGTGTTTTACAGGTGAGTCTTTCTCACTGCATTTGCATCTAAAATGATTCTCATGAAATTCAAACCTAATTTTCAGAGGTGGACGAAGTGTTCCGGTCCTTCACTTAAAGCTGGAGTGCTGGACTTCCCAAAAAAATATACAGACCAGCAACTCCCGTGTTATGTGAGGTAAAAAGATTTTTGTCAAAGGAGCCTGGTGGCTTTGAAGAAAACATGCAGTTCCTCAGTTGAAAAGGGCTGTTTGACGGTGAGGTAATGCTGTGAAAATATGTACAAAAATACAAACTGATATACATTTTTTAGGTAGGTAAAAAATGTTTTTCTGCTGCCTCAGTCCAAAGCAGTAGGGAATTGCTTAGCTGGGTGCAACCAAGTGAACAATTGGGCAGGTATGGCGTCACACTTTAACAAGCACAAATAAATTAAATTAAATTAATAAGGACAGAAGAGTTCATAAATAGAGGTATTGTATTTTCTCTGTATAGTTGGGGTCCGGTCCCCCAAAGAAAGTGTGGTCACACCCATTTTCACATGAAAAGTGACAGAAGAAGTGTAAAGCATGAAAAAAGAGAGCTTGGGAGGGAAGGTCAAACCCAGTTTACCATCACCTCCACAAAGCGGACCAATCACAGTGTATAGTGGGTGTGAAAATCAGGTTGTCTCTTCAAAAGCTCTCTGAAGCTATTCGACCTTCTGACACGCAGTTCTGAAGAAGCCTACTGGCAACGTCAGCTGCTGGAGCTGCTGCTCCATCCTGCACTCCTCTACCGGCTCTGCCACCTGAGGCTTGGACATACAGTGCAGACTCACCTGTCGGGGGCGTTGCTTCCTCTCTTGGCTGTCGTGGTGCGACCGGCTCTCAGCTCGCCGTTCATCCCGGTGTCTGAAAAACAAAAATCAAACCGTCATTGACTGACACCGGGTGTCTCACCACCTTGACCCATAGGAGACAGCGATGAAGGTAGACAGGTAACACAGTCTGTCCCTGCTGTAGGCTCACACACACACACTACTGCACATTAAATTTCCACCAACCCCTGTGGCTTTCACAACTCACAAAAATAAATGGATGGAGCACTAAGCAACCACACACAGACCCAGAGGGCTCAGCCGGCCACCTTAACGAGAAGCCTGAGAGTCTAATTGGCCTCCATCTGTCAGACGGGAATTAATTTCCTCTCCCTTTCATGACGCTTCTCCCCTTTCAACAACACACATGGAGCGGTCTGTCAGCCTGAGACAGACACAAAACAAGTTTGGCCATGTTAAAAAAACTGTTTAGTTCTGAGACTAATTTTAGAAAACACCATGAACTCAGAATTGTGACTTCATGCCGCCTTCACAAGATCCCGGGGTTGTGACTGCATCAGTCACTTCAGCAAATCCCCAAAACGTCATATGGATGTCATACAGGACTCCCCTGTAAAACCGTGGTCCAGGGGAGGTTTCACACCTGTGATTTGAAGTCCGAAAGTCCGGCCCAAACAAGGCGGTAGGTGAAAGCCCCTTTAAGCTTTGATTTGGTGTCCACCAACGCCTGAGGAAAATGTCTGGCTCTTTAGCTGTTCTAATGTTCTTTTCCTTCCTCTACTCTCTAACTTTGTCTTTCTGCTGTTTGGTGCTGAGCAGATAGTTAATCAGCTCGTGAGATGAAAACAGCTGCCTGCTGGAGGAAACACTGAGACTGAACCAGATAAACATAAATATGCTGTAAAACCAAAACGAGGCTCTGTAGTGCTGCAGAGACGTGATCTATCTGTGCTGTTTCTTGTACTTCACCATCACAGTGAAGAATTGTTGCTCTGGAACTATTTATAAAAAAGAAACAGTGCCAGACCGTGTTAATTCCATACTCTGTGTAAACTGAGGGGCTCATTGATCAGCGGCAGAGGCAAGACGTATTGATCAGCAGAAGGTTGTGGGAAACATTAACTGAAGACTGATTAACTCTGATGGATCTGATACAAGCTCCACAAAACTTCTTCTATTCTGCTTTTCTTACGGCCGCCATCAATAGTCAGTTTGTCCTGTTACACAAAATGGAAAACATCTCACCAGCTCCACATGTTTACAGTCATATTTCTACAGTTCGACTTGTATTTCTCTGTAGTTTCCTTTGTTGTATTGTGTTGTGTTGCACTGTATTGTGTACGACTTTACCCTTCTGGTTTTATGAAACGTCATCAGTCACGGCCCAAGTACAGTTCCAGTGCCAAGTTTACATTTACAGTAGTCAGGTGCAGTCCAAATGCCTGGAAATATTCTTGCTCTGCCCATTTTATTTCAAATGAGTTGGGAGATGGCCTATGTGTGTCAACCTGCATTTTGCATTAACTGTTATTTTTATAACAAATTGTGTTGATAAATTTAGTTTTGATATTTTATGCAAGAAATGAACAGTTCAGATTTCAAATATATTACTGATCGTATCAAAAGAATGCCTTCTTGAATATTTGACGTTTTTGCAATGGCCCGCTAGATGGGTGATATCGGCTTAGTGTCCATGTTTAGAAAAAGCTATTTATGTGGAACATTGAGTTGAGATCATTTTGTCACAGAACAGGTGTACAGGTGTGTTGAATGGTCTGAGCCCACCTGAGCTGCTGATGCCAGCAAAAACCCAGTTTGTGAGAGTCCTCACAATCACAGAATAATTCTGTCACATTAGAACCAACAAATGGCAAGACTAAGGGCCCTATTTTAACAATTTAAGCACACGGTGTGAAGCACTTGGTGCAGGTGCATTTAGGTCGTGTCCAATCCACTTTTGCTAGTTAAACGGTGAAAAAATAGCTTAAGCAATCATGGTTGTGTTTTGGGTCAATCGAGAGTTTTCTCCCATTCCCTTTACGAGCCAAGCCATTGCTATTATAATTACAGATTAACACAACAAAAACCTTGATAGAATATAAAGAAAGAAAAAATTGCGATGCAGACCGACAGCAGAGAGAGCAAGAGACTGAGCTCATGTGGTCGAGCGAGAGAGTAAGTTTGCGAGTATGATTCAAGTGTCGACGTGATATAAAAACTCTCTCTGATCATGAAGCCTGGCGTTACTCTACAATTCTGTGGTTTATCTGTGCAGTATATGAATTACTCTGCAGCAAGTAGATGTCTGCCTGAAGTTAAGTATAATGTTTACCATAAAGCCATTTTAGTTTATCGTATATGTAACCAGGTGATAAAAGCAAAAGCTTAAATATAACAGGATATTCTGAAAACTAAACCTCTGTAAAAAAAATTCTGGCGCTGGGAAAAATACAGGAGGTAAACAACGCAAAGCTATTTTGCCTGGAATGGCTGCTGCTGTCATTGGTGAGAATGTTTATGAATATTGTTGCGTCCTTGGGAGTTATTATTTACAATATACCAATGCGTATGTACGTATGTATTAAATTCCACTTTGTGTGTAATTATTGCATTTAGGATTGCCTTACATGTGGGCCACGAGAGCTTGTTATTCGTGATTTAGGAAACTGATACTACCTGAATTGATGAGTGCTGTAATTTTATTTGTGTCATGTCTTTATCTGTGTATAGACACTTTTTGTTTCCTTTGTCACATAAATTACATGCTAAGTTTGATAAATCAGCACAAGAATTGTATAGTGAATATTTCTGGGCAGTGTTTTTTTTGTGTCTTCTTCTCCGACTAGAGAGGCCACTGCCATATTTTATTTGTACCATGTCTGTGCTGTTTTTGTGACATATTTAGGCTGCATTTCTGTCATATTTGTAGTAGTTGCTGTGTCATTGCCACATTTATTCAGGAATAGTAGCTACTTTCTTTTTTTGACTCGGAGAAGACCAGTTTATTTTATTTTTCTGTACATTTGAAACCAGTTCCTTTAGTGGAAGAATAACTTCTACTTTATTTCCACAAATTAACCAGCCTTAAATGTGGGAAAACAATCAAAGAAACCCCAGAAAACTGCATGTTAGCATGCTTACGGGTGCTAATTGGCACTAAACACAAAGTACAGCTGAGGCTGCTGGGATTCTCGTTAGTTTTGTAGGAAATAAACCAAAGTACTGGACAATTAAAATGTTAGCCTGATGAAGGCGCTATAGGAAAGGTCAGAGGACGACAAAAGTATTGCCAAATTTCATGGCAAGACATCCAATCATTTTGTTGTGACACTACACTCAAAACCAGCGTCGTGGTAGCATATGAGGAAAAGTCAACAAAGTCAGCGGGATTCATCATCTGGTAACCTTATGTATGTATGAAATGTTACGTCAATCCATCCAACATTTGTTGAGATATTTCAGTCTGGACCAAAGTTTTGGACCAACCTTGCCATCCTCAGAGCCACGTTGCTAGTGTGATGGTAACTATGCATTTCTTCTGAGCATATAGTGATTGTGTGGGATTAAGACAAACATAAGTCCTTTTACTTTCCTTGCAGTTGCAGAAAAAAACTGCCACTGTCCTCTGTGGTTTTCTGTTTCCTTCCATCTCTTCAGTCAGACAGAACCGTTCAGTCAGCATTTGGGTTTTATAATTGAAAGCTGAGAGCAGTCTGTCACTCCAAGACCTCCATCAAAGCTCGGTGCACGGCTCCGAAGACCGCCCGCATATCAAGCTCTGTTCGAAGGCAGCAGCTGGCCCTTCGCCTCCCATCATCCCCCTCTCCCCACCCGCAGCGCTGACAGTCGGTGGCAGGGTTGTTTATAGCTTCCACGCCGGCTGCAGCTTGTAGGACATTAGTCTTTTAGTGCAAGGTTTATGAGTACCGTCACTCACCATCTGTTAACTGCCGGGGTGCCTTTAATCGGCCCCTCTCCCCCCGGAGATCGATAAGGCTGCCAGGTCTCTGCGACTCCCGCCGTGTGCTGAGTGGGTGATTGTGCATCATTGACTGAGTGATTACAGCTATTTGCTTGCTTATTGCTTGGCATTGTTTGAACGACACATCATCTTTAGAGAGAGGTGGGGGAAGATGGAGGTGGTTGGAGGGAGAAAGAGAAAGGGAAAATGAGAGAGGAGGGAAAGAAGAGAGAGTGATGACAAGACAATTTCACACCCTCATGGTTATTGGTTTTCAGGGACAGGCTATTCAAAGTTTGGCAGCAAATCCAGAGCAGACCAGAGGCCGGCTGCTGGCATGTGGATGAGGCCACAACTATCACTTCTCGTCCATTTATGCTTGTTTTTAACTGGTTGTCAGGTGATATCTATTTGCTGTACAGCGATGATGATGATGGTCTGTCCGCCTCTGCCAGGTTTGGGTCAGTTTTGATGCACAGAGAAGTTCAGAGCAGACAATTATCAGCACAAAAGTTTGTTTTGGTTGCTGTGTTTGATTTGAAGGAGTTCAACCTGCCAGCAACATTTTCTGTCAGTTTTCAGGCCTTTGAATCAGTGAAAGGGGGTGGCGATGGAGCAATGGATAAGACTATGTCTTTGGTGTGAGAGACCCAGGTTCAATCCCCCACTGTGACCGTCCACCAATGTGTCCCTGAGCAAGACACTTAACCCCTCGTTGCTCCAGAGGCGTGCGACCTCTGACATGTAGAGCAATTGTAAGTGGTTTGGATAAAAGCGTCAGCTAAATGAAGAAATGTAATGAAAGATTAGAGTGACAGAACTCTCTGTTACAAAGTGACCTGTTTTTCTGTAGAACATATTCAGACTTGTGGAAGAGGGACTGTTAAATTTCTCTACTAAAACTGTCAGTGAGAATTTACCCAAACACAATGTAACCTCCCCTTATATCTTAGGACTTGATGTACCTTTTTAACTAGATCTGCTTCTCTAAAAATGCAGCAGCTTTTTATTTAGACCATCTGGATGATCAGAGTGGAAATAACTATGGGTGGGTGATGATATTTGAATTTTCCAAATCATTAAATGATACATTTTTTATTGTTTAAGCAATT